TTTAGCTAACACTTCATGATTTATTTCAATAGAAAAAAAGAAAAGTAAGATTAGTGGGGTGCTCGAAAATGTATGTTTGATTTTAGTGGGGTGCTCTAAAATGTATGTTTGATTTTTTTCATACGAACTTATGTTTGATGTTTCTTCTTTATAAAATTTCAAAAAATTTCATATCCTCCTCTTTCTTTAAATTTAAAAATCTAATCACAATAGTTGCTTATGATATGAGATATCGATGTTTCGAGTCTTCTTAAAGTACAACTTGAAGATGTCCGGCTTTACTTTGGCCGATATATCAAATTCCTTTGGCTCTTACTCAGCGTCGATATGTTAGCTTTTTTGAATGGTCATAGTTGGACTTTCAAAAGGCTCCAAGTATTAGCTTACACTTGTTATTAGAATCAGAGAGAGAACTTACGAGGTTACAAGAGAGTTTAAGAGAGCATATGCGTTCTTAATAATATTTAAGGAGTGCTTAATCAAACAAATAAGGAAGACGGAGGGGTTTGGTGTATTTATAGGATTTTTATATTTTTCTCTAAAATACCCTCAAAACTAATTATTATTTAGTTGTTGAAATAGATAATTTTTTATTTTTTATATATTTTTATATTATAATTATAAAATAATCAAAATATTTCTGAAAACAATCATTAATATAGTAGTTGGGAGAGGCAAACCAATCATTTGCCCCTCCACCAATTGTTGGATTAAGGCGCAGAATGTGGGCCGATCGTTTGAGCCCAACATTAAGTTCTATTTTGATTGCCCCTTTTTCTAAAATCAAAATATTGAACCAACGATATTCGATTTCCCAAACCTGAGAACCAGAATCGAACTGCTCCTAATCAGTTCTGATTTGATATGAAACCTACGAATCATTAGATCGATTTGATTTTAGTTCCCATCTATTTAGTTTCAATTTGAATCCTGTTGGTAATTTAATTTTTCTTCGAATCAAATCATGGTAGTCAATGCTGAAGTTAAAGATGGTGTCACAACGTGTTCGTGTGTGTCGTAGAAGACAATGATGATGAGCAGGTTAGATTCTCGTTCGTGAGCAACAGCTGGAAAGAACAAGGTTTGATGCCCCCCAAAAGAATGTTCAGGTTAAATGGAGTTCTTTTCATGAGTAGTGAAATGTCAGAATATATGAGAGAAGAAAAGAGTACTCCAGAATGATCTGGAATGAGACCTTAAAAGAGAATGAATGTTAGGTGATGATTAAGATAAGATGCATGTGTGGAAAACTTGAGAAAAACAATGGAAAATGCTGAGAGTCATGGAGAAGCGAGAAGGTTTTGCACCATATCTTTCGGAAGATGGCAAAGAGAAACAAATTAGCCTTGCTAGAGTCATAACAAAGATCATCATCCAAATCAGCACATGATAAATTATTCTTTTATGCGCACACAGTCTACAGGTTAGGGTTTTGCACAAAAACACCTGGTATTGTCACTTCGTGTAGAACAGTGGAATCACAAAGCTTCCTGCGTTGCACCGCTGAGAAACAAATTAGGGGCACTTCAGCTGGATCGGAGTAGATTCATCGAGAGTTGAGAGAATATCAAGTTCGCATGCACATTAAGTTGCAGTTTATATGATTAATCGTTGTACTCAACAACAACAGTGTCTGTGGACTACTTTCTTGTTGATGCTAGTCATTTATGAGTCGATACAGTCTGCAACATTAGCAGCTTGAAGAAAGGAAACCGAGATTTTATTTCGCTGTAAAGATTAGATTATATCACCGAATAATATGAAGAATCAGTCAAAAGCTAACATCTTTCTTCCAGATCGAGAAGAACAAACGTGGCAAGAAAATCTTTCCTCCTCCTTCATTTCTTGATCCAGAGAAACAAACATGGCAAAGATGTTAGTTAGTGCATGTTCTTGTAAGATTTCAAAATGAAGATAGATTTTTTTTGTTGCCTGTATAACAAAAGCTTAACTCTTCCGTGACAGCAACTATCAACACAAGCGGTCAGAAGCATCGACACGGGCAGACAAAAGCAAAGCGACGGTTAAATTGAGAGAAAGAAACATGGCAAGCTTTTATTCTCCGTTGTGCAGTCATTGTGGTGGACATACTAGGTGACACACTGAGATGAACAGAAGAAGCACAAAAAAATGGTGCGACTTGGAACCTAAACCATGATAGCCTGATGCTCGGAGTCCATGAAACGTGAAGCATAAAATCTAGCGATGAAATCTGAAGCCTTCTTGTCCACATCCGGTTCGCCGATCCATCGTCCCCGATCCTCATCGCTCGAACTTATCCTCCTCGTGTACCTCTGCTCCCAGTCAACCTCTTCGTCTCTGTTCCTCGACCTCCCGAAGCAAAGGCAGCCGAAGGACTTGGAAGAACCCCTCTTTCCTCCCATGTCTTCGCTTCTCCTTCCGTCCTCTGTGCACTTGGAAGGAGAGACAGATCACTGCTCGATTTATAGTGCTGGTCGGTAGCTGCTTTCTTAGGAACTAAGCCAAGTGGATGGTGGACGTTAGATGATTTGCTTTGTGCCCAAAAGTTGATGGAGGAGATGCCACAGCAAAATAATTTATAGGCCTCTGCTTCCATCATCGTGCCATCTTTGTTGCCGTAGCTCTCTTCTCGTGCTTCCGAGAGTATCGAAGAGATATCATTTTCAATCTATCCGAACGGGGTTAACCATCTGAAGGTTGAGACAGTTCTACATGGCAAGGACACTGCAGTTGCACCATTTTGCATGTGATTTGCCAAAGAGGACACAGAATCTGGTCTCCTGTAGCTTAAACAGAATGCAACCATGGAAGCTTTTTACAGAAATTGATGGTCGATTTCGAGACTAGCAGTCTGCCATCACTTAACCACGTAAAGTTCTACGAAGCTAGCTAGAGTCCATTGCTCAGGGTTCTCGAATGCCTCCACATGCTGCATCCATGGAGCATATGATGCATGTTTGGGCATGCGAAGATGTATACACGGATATGTAGGTGAGTAGAACAATGGCGAAGACTCCTCTTTTTGGCTTGGAACAAGTTCTATGATGGATTGATTGGTTAAAGTGGGGCTTGAGGTTGATGTTTCCTGAGAGCACATCCTTCCCTTTTGCATACTGCAAGCTGTTCTTCTCTACTCTCCTTGCAAGAACGGAGCTTCAGATGCAATCAACACTCAACAAATATCTCGGTGTAATCGAGTTCTATATAGAACCGTACCAGCGGAATCTTAATCATCGAGAGCCCTCGAGAGGTAGGTGATGCCTTTATATTGTGGCCTGTGAGGTTCTTCTGCACTACCTGTCCTTGACATGTCTTCGTCACTCATCCATTGAACAAAAGAGACTGCAACAGAGAACCCTATGCCAAGTGTTGGGAAATTTTACTGGCACAACTCTGCATGTTATTCAATATACTTAATGTAATCCAACGAGTACTGCGCATCCACCTCTACTCTTTTTGTTTCAGTAGTACATCAAAGAGAGCAGCTCACGTCTTCTACAAATAGATTTCTGGAGATATCAGACCAATCTGGTCTGCACATATTTCTCTTCTTAGACCAGCATACATGATGTTGTATGTAATTGAGTATATTGAATAACTAATCTATTTAAGTTGACTTTTTAAGTTGGAATTATCGATTCAAAATACTTTTCAAATCCAATTGAATAACTATTCAATTAAATTCTGAATTATTGATCAAAATGTTCAAGTGTAAATTGTATGCTCATCAAGATTAATTTAAGATTTTATTCACTTTCAATATAAGACTAACATTGAAATTATTACAACCTCCCCCCACTTAAGGATGTGTGGAGAGAGATTGTACAAATATATGGTACAAGTCAAGTGAAAAATAAATATTTTATAAATATTTTTAATTAATCACTGGACAAAACAAAGAAATATAATGATAAGAGTTTTGGTCACTGATCCCAAAGGTTTAACTGATTAGAAAAGAATATTTTATGTATGTATATATATGTATATATATATATATATGTATATATATATATATATGTATATATATATATATATGTATATATATATATATATATGTATATATATATATATGTATATATGTATATATATATATGTATATATGTATATATATATATATGTATATATGTATATATATATATGTATATATGTATATATATATGTATATATGTATATATATATATGTATATATATATATACATATATATGTATATATATATATATATACTTTAATAAATAAAACTTCTCATATAAACTTTGGATCGACGAAACACAAAAAAAAAAAAAAAAAGTTACATGATAAGATTCTTCTAGAAGGTCTCTATAAATAGTTCCATCAATATGGTGTTTATCAAAAATATAACTAATTAATTTGTGGCCACCACACGCAATAACAACAGCTCGAATCAAAATTAAATAATGCGCAATATAAGATTGACTTCCTTAGTTTATTGGGTAAACATTGAGTATTCGAAATCTTACGTGATAAGTGTCGAAAATATCAACTGGTAAAGACTTTGACTATTAATAAGAAGGTCTTCAAATAAAATCTCGTTTTTGCTATTTATCATTTACAAAAAAAAGAAAATTCAATGAATTAACAAATTATAACCTTTTAAAATAAAAATTATTAATATTGACGTAATTATTTATATCCCGACATTCTCTTGTCTATCATTTCCAAACGGTTGGAGGAAACCGAGGCCAAGCCGCGGCCCCACGATTCTAACTGTCATCCTTTATATAGATGCCTCTCATCTCTACCCTCCATCTATCTTTCACGAATCTTCCTACACCCATCTTTCCCCCACTCCTGCTGTTCCTTCTTCCCTCCCTTTCACCTTGCATGACAACCTCTCAACTCTTTATATGAAATGCTGAGACCAAACTGTATCCCTTCCTCTTTCTCCAACGACAGAAGACAAAGAGAGAGAAAGAGCGAGAGATCGTCTTCCCTTGTTGCATGTTTCTTGTGGTAAGGCTTCACTGGCATTGATCGACGTCAAACAAGGAAGAAGACAATGGTTCAGATCAGCAACAGCCTTGTGGGCTTCCTCAACTTCCTAACCCTGCTCATCTCCTTCCCCATCCTCGGCGCCGGGCTGTGGTTCCGTCTCCATGCCGCGACGGAGTGCGAGAGGTTCCTGCAACTGCCTCTCCTCGTGTTGGGCGGGTTCCTCCTGGTGGTGTCGGTGCTGGGCCTGATCGGCGCCTGCTGCCGCGTGTCGTTCTTCATGTGGCTCTACCTCTTCGTGATGTTCCTGTTGATCCTCGCCATGATCGTCTTCACCATCTTCGCGTTCGTGGTGACGAACAAGGGCGTGGGGGAGGCGGTGTCGGGCGTGGGGTTCAAGGAGTACCGGCTCAGCGACTACTCGGGGTGGCTGCAGAAGAGGGTGGAGAACTGGGAGACGTGGAGGCAGATCGACGGCTGCTTGAAGGACGCACAAGTATGCGCCGGGTTTGAGGGCTTGGCTGGTCTCCAGGCCAGCCAGTTCTTCGCCAAAAACCTATCACCCTTACAGGTGCTGCTTCCTCTTCCCTTGCTCGTACGTAATACACGGCAACTTTCATCGATATAAGAAATATAATGTCGATAAACACCGTCTTATTATATAAATAGATATTTATTTTTACGACTTAAATCACTTAATCTCACTGTTAATTACTTTGATCAATGACGATGTGCTCTTCGTGGTCGTTCAGTGAAGAGTTTCTATCTTTTAGATTGTCTATCTAGCAAAAATTCTGAGAGAGAGAGAGAGAGAGAGAGCGAGAGAGGATAATATTAGAGAACATCAATCAATCGTAACATTATTTTTCTCTCATGTTTTCTCTGCGTGCAACTGCGATAGCAGAAAACAATTGAGCTAGGCAAACAAATAGATTAGAGAAAGACTATCAGACTCTAATAATTCCAACTATGATGAATCTTGTTTATATTTGATTTTGCTACACTATTCATAAGTAACCAAGAAACATCAAGTCATACATATCTCACCGCACTTCTCGATCTTTGATGCAGTCTGGGTGCTGCAAGCCCCCAACATTCTGTGGATTCCAGTACAAGAATGCTACTTTTTGGACAATTCCCACAACAGGGCTTAAATCGACAGATGCTGACTGCAAACTGTGGAGCAATGACCAGGACAAGCTGTGCTACGACTGTGGCTCATGCAAGGCAGGTGTGCTTGCAACCTTGAAGACCAAGTGGAAGGCGGTTTCCATCTTCAATGTTGCCCTCCTTGTGTTTCTCATCATAGTCTATTCAATTGGTTGTTGTGCTCTGCGAAACAATAGAGCTAAGAGGCACGGGGGTTACTATCCCTATGCTCGTTGATCTTTCCACCTTGGTTCAGTGTATGCCTGTAACTTGTGGTTTCCTCACTCACAGATGCTACATTTTCAAAGTTCTGAATGATTGGCATCACGTTTTGATGGAGATATTTGCCAAACAACACATCTTACGGGAGACTCTGAAGGTGACCCATAAACTTCAGAGTTCTACTGAATGAAATAACCTATCAATCTTGAACGGACAGGAAAAACGAAACGCAATGTTATCACTCCAATCCAGGTTTTGATATGTATCCATACTTAACAAAAGAGAGAAGAAAAGTAAAAGATTTGGACACAAAAAAGGCATCATGTTTGCTAAGAGGTTAGTACTAAAGCAATAATTAATTGAGACTGCACTTTAAACAGCATTGAAAAAAAATTTTGACCTTCAGATAAGGACATGGTTGGAGACAAAAAAGAATATCATGGCCAACGCTTACCACACGAGCACATGTTCTCTCTCTCTCTCTCAAATAGCTCCTCAACATGCACTAGGGATAGCTGCCTTCAGAATAAGGTTCCTATTCTCCTTTTATGTGACGACAGACGACAATTAGAAGAGAAAATTACAGTGTAACAATGAATATGAGCTTGAGAAACTAATCTTTTAAAGGTGTTAAGCATACATAGTTACTAAGAATTCAGGCACTTTTCTGGTGTACAAGGGAAAAACAAATGGCTCAAAAAATTTGTTCCCCGAGAGGAAGCTGCTTTAGTTGATGGTTGCATGAAATCCAAAGTTCATTCTACATGTTTCAAGAAGGTAGAATGGCTTTATTTGAGAAAGGTGCATACTAGAAATAAGAAAACATAAGAAATCAAAGAGGTCAAGAGTTCAATTGTCCAACTCGGATGTACAACTGATGGAATCATAGGTACCACAACTGATCCAACAGCCCACCCAACAAGAAGCGCCCCGAATCTGAAATTTAATGTGGTTGATAAGCAACAGAGAGATTTTGTTGTAATCAACTCTTTTGATATTGTAGCATTCTCACTTACCCGGTTGCCGATGCTCTGACAAGGTTCTTCATCTTGTCATTGAGGAAATAAATACATGAAAGGATTGATAGAGCAACCTGCAGAATATAGACGAGTGCAAAATTGTAAACCACAGGCCATATCAATACTAGCATACAAATAGCTTGGCTTCATATACATTCAAAAAAAAAATAAAAAAGAAACGTAAAGAAATGCCCAGTTCCAGAGCAGTTTAGGTGCATGAATTGGAGGTGAACATCGACCCGGTTCAAATTGCTAGAAAGTAACATAACTTAATCCAGGTAAAACTGTTTAATTTTTGAAGATAGAAGCTAAGTTAGAAATAGAAACATAGTCAAGTGCTGTGCACCCAAGGTTTCCTGACCATCTGTCGATTCAAATAGCATGGTTTCAATAAGGTACTTAAGAAACAGAAAGCCAATTTGAGTTTATGAAAATTGCTAAACAGCCAACCAATAACCTCATGAACTATGTATGGTCAAGTAGGTGTATACTAAAACAGGATGAAGAAGCATTAATAGTTCATCGAGCAATCAATCTGTACTTAGCAAAGGTAGTGATGCAAATATTAACTAATGCTCATCAAAATTTGTTAGCTGAATCAGGAAATTATGGTTGATTACAGCTTTCAAAGGCACTTTCAAGCAAACAAACAAGATGATGAGAAAATGTTTCATCAAATATAGGTTGTCAGCCTTGCATTGTAGGAGAAAAACCCTTAGAACAGGCATAGTAGTGCATAAAATATGACAAAGAAATTGAAAATTTACTTGGAAAGCAGGTCCAGATTCAGCAGAATTTATCACACTCCATGCTCCCATGAAGACAAAGAAAAAAAGTCTTCTAAGGATCACATCAGTCGGAGGCAACTCAACAAATTCAAGCAATCTTTTCATCCAGGGAGGTGATTCCACTACTTTCTTTCTTAACCTGCTTTTCAAATTGAATTTTGTTTTCTTACGTTCCTTGAAACTGGTAAACAGTATTCGTTCATAAGCAGCTTCAATGGTCTCCACACTGCTTTCATGCCCAGCATATTGTTCTAAAAGAAAGTTGCGTGCCTCTCTGATTTCTTCTTCAGAGGCATCATGACTGACTCCGAGACACTTATAAGGATCCCTTATATTCATCCTAGGAAATTTAGGAACATACTCTGCAAAATAAAGTAAAATTACTTTAAAAATTATAGTGGAATACAGTTGTGAATTGAAGGAAAAAAAGTCAGATACTAAAACCACTTCTGTTTTCAGTATGCAAAATAAAAGATCCAACAAAAATACAGAAAAGGATGATAAAAAAAATCCTGATGCCACATCTATGATTAAGCATCGAGAAAAAAAAAGAAGTTGATTACGTTTTCATGTATGAACTCGCCTCATGATTGTCATGCTCATATGCATCGAGAACTAAAAGGGCCAAATGGCCAATCATAGAAAAATGTGCTTAGAATATCCATGGACAGTATAAGAAGATCAGTATTAGACACAAGAACTCATCACATATAGCTCAGAACATAGTCACATACCGATAAAGAAAAACATATTTCTTGTTTGAGCCAATAGCTTTGACAGAGCATGTTCACAGACTATGGTGTGTGCCATGTTGGTTCCTGAATATTAAGGCATGAAGAGAAATCAATTTCAATGACATGGAATCAAATTTAGTAAAGGTGTGCTAAGTCCAGAGGTTCATCGAGGCCAAAGTTTTGCATTTCATCTCAATCAAGATGGCATACAAAGTGCACCAAAGAATTGCACCTAGTGTGTCTCCTAGAAAAAGCACATACACATAAAATGGCACCTCTATATTGTACATGTATGTCTTTTCCATCAACACGGCCTTCCATCCTAATGTATGATAGACAAAATTAATTCAGTTCAAACCATCTGGTTAGACAACAAAAGCCAGTGGCAACAATTCAAGGCTGGCCTCTGGTACGAATCCATTTAACGAGATTATCTTTTGATAGTTGATTTTATACCATCTACTTTAATGTATTTAGTACGACATTTTTTTCTTACCTTTCGATCTGTACAAAGTTAAGCAGGAACGAAGAAATCCTTAGTTCTGACTGCGTATCACTATGCAGGAATTTCCCAACACCCTTTGGCCACCTCTATTTAGAACATCTATTTCTGTGTTTTCTTTCCTACCTTTTACAAAATCCCAAGAAGCTGATCACAGTTCATTAGGCTATTTAACGAAGAATAGAAAGTTCAATTGGAACTGAAAACAAGAGAGTAAAAGATCCTCTCTTTTTTTTCTCCTTTTTACCCTTAAATTGCGTCAAACAAAGTAAACAAACCTCAAACTATCTATCGTACCGTAACTATAGTTGCCGCCGCCGATTGCCGCGTCCAACGAGCACCTCGGAGTCCCAAATGCTGCTCCGCCAGCCCTCTTCCTCGCCGGCATCCTGCGATCCGATAAAAAAAAGAACCCAAAAATAGCAAACGTTCAAGAAGATCTATACCCCAAAAAAGTAGAGAGATTAGCCAAGAGACAAACAGCTGAGCAAGAATCAAGAGAGGGTACCTCGCGGGGAGGAGCAGAGACGGTCTTCGATGGATCAAAGACCGAGAGAAGCAGCAGCAGCAGCTCGTCGGACTCGGGAGGCGGACGGCCTCCATCTCCGAAAAGAAGAAGAGCAGCAAGAGGAGTAGGTTTAGGAACCCTGGGAAGTCTCCCCTCTGACCGTCTTCTCTCTTCCCCAAGGAGAGATTAGAGAGCCCGAGAGCGCAATCCCTGGAGGATTAGGGGACGAAACTAGTCTTGGGCTTGGAGAAGTCCGGCCCAGTTTGATGTGCCCTCGCTCTGTTTCCCTGATGTTCTTATTTTATTGCTTTTTGTTTCTAAAAACAAAAACACAAAGACGAAATTTCGAAAGAAAAAAAAAAAAAGTCATTTTTTGAATTTTTCACGGGTATTGCCTCTCAATTCTCTAATAGGATTCATTCGAACCTAATACCCAATAGAAAATCATATTCTTAATTTCATAGTCAATCATTTATTTTTTTAACCTTTTGACTTGGAGTGAATCGATCTAATTATAATATTTTTATATCATATTATAGTATGTTTAATAATATCAAAAAATATAATATATAAAAATAGGACAATGAAAGAAAGAAAAGGATCGTGGCGGAAAGCATTTCAAATATTATGGGAAAAAAATATTAAGGAATTCTAAAAATGGGACAGAAAAAACCTAAAACAATGGGCCCAAAACAGGACAATTTAAAAAACATTTCCTGTTTTTAGATATTCTTCACCCTTTACTATAGACACTATGAATCATTCACTTGATATACAATAATTATACTTCAACTTATAAATCTTTTATTATTCATAGCAAAATTCTGAGATCAAACTTTAACGTTGGTTAGAAATATCAAACGTGTGATACAGATGACGATTTCTAATTTGATTTCCATAAGAGAATACATTGCTTGAGCTCTCTATGTGCTTACTTGGCAAATAGGAGCATTTGTAGATTTTAATGAAAAGTAGGCAAGCATACATGTAGATTCAAAGATATATACACACATATAGCGCAATGCTTAATGACATTTAGCCTAGCAAAGTTAAGAATTAGTGAATAACAATCACTATGAGGTGATAATAAATCTTGTTGTATTTTAAGAGATAATGGAGCTAAGAACTCAAAATTTAACAAGTAATCGTAAACATATTACAATTTTCGAAAGATTACCTGTCTATGTCAAGACAGGGTACAGTATTAGAGACCCAAAGCATGCGTGGGGCTCTCAAAAACCTGATCTGTGCGGGGCAGCGGCGGCGTGCGGATGACTGTTCCCTGCATTGGACGAAATAGGCAATCTCCAGAAGATTGGGACGCTCCGGCGGCGCTCACCGTCATCACCCGGCAGATCTCCTCGTCCACACAATCCAGCGTCAGATTCTTCGACAACCCTCCACCACACAAAAGGTCCGGCGAAGAAGATCTACTCTTATACCGAACACAACCTACCACTCGATCGCCGACTGTCGCACGCACCCAATCCACTCGTCGCCCGATCGAGCCAACCACAACCGAATCAGTCTTAAAAGTCCGCATCGATCACACACACAGCGGCAGCAGTAGAGCGAGGGGGGAGGGAGACGAGGAGGAAGAGGAGATGGCGATGGTGGCGTTCCGAGCTGCGGCGGCAGCGTCGACCAGTCCTCGCCCTCCCCTGTCCAAACCACAACAGGCGCAGCCACAACATCATCAGTCCAAGCTGCTTCACCCAAAGCAACCTCTTCCTCTGCTCCCACCTCCTACGCCCGCCGCGCTCTCCTTCGTCGCCGTCCTCTCCGCAGCCGTCCCCGGCGAAGCCAGGGCCTTCTCCTTCCCCAAGGAAGACATCGTCTCCTCCCTCACCAAGGTTCCACACGACGCCCCCTTCCCCATTCTTCTCTATGTTTAGATCACTGCCCTAAATCTTTTCTTTCTTCTCCATCTATCGAAGGCGGAGGACACGATTGGCCAGGTAGTTGATGTTGGTTCGAGTGTTTGGGGTTTCTCCCTGGACGTGTTCAGGTCCTTGTCGGAGACGCTCAAGCCAGGAGTCGACGCCGCGCTACCGATCTTGCAGAGCGCCAGTAAGGAGGCTTTGAAGATCGCCTCTCCGGTGGTTTCCGATGCTTCCAAGCAGGCCAAAGAAGCGCTTCAGAGCGTTGGGGTTGATCCAAGTCCTGTTCTGACCGCAGCACAGGTTGTTTCTTTGTTCTCCTCCTCCTCCTCCTCTTCTCTGCATTCCAGGCTAAATGTGCGTCATTTTCTAATTGCCAAATACAAAATGTCGATAGATACTTTTTTTCTCTCTCTCTTTTGCTACTGGTAAGTGGTGTTAGACGGGTTCTGATCTTAGGACCTTAAGATGATCCTTTACAAGTTAGCTAGCACCTTAGAGACCAATGTTTTAGAAGTTTAAATTAGGTTTTGAGCCCCCTATCATACCAATATTTTAGATGTAAAATTTATCAGATGTGGTTTTGAACCCTCGACTTCCTATGTCGTAGTTAAGAACTTATTCAATTTTAAGCTTAACTGGCTAGCTTAGATGTAAAATTTATCAGATGTCGGCTGGGGTTTCGTTGCTAAAAACCATGATAGATTATTGCAAGATCCTATATCCTATATCGAAAATGGACAAGATTAAGATTGACATATAAGGGTCGAATGAGAATATTATTATCAATTTCAACTTAAGCATTTTGGTAAGTGATTTACATCAAATAAAATCGATAGACAGCTGGGTTATGACATTTGGTAATAGAACCGATCTAGTAATAGGACAGGTCTTAAGCATTTTGGTTAGGTCGGGTCATGAGCCTTTACCCTTTGCAAAATAAAAAATCGTCTTTATTCATCAATCTTGTAGTTATTTTCCTAGGAGATTAAACTTCCAAGTCATTTTTACGCTTATTTCACATTAATATCCTATTTAACATGACTTCTGTTAAGAGCCTGTCAAGTTTCTTTCTCTGTCGAATTATGGCTGTCCAAAGTACTTATGTATTCATTGTGGAATCTTGATATTATTGATGTTTCAACTCTCTAATTCTGGATTCTTCAAATTCCATTAGTACTAGTTTATACAGAGGATCACCTTCCTGATGAAGTTTTTATCTCAACAGACAATCGCCGATGCAGCACAGCAGACAACAAAAATCATAGAAGGAGCAAAGCCCCTTGCTTCGGCAACCGTGGAGAAGATCACATCCTCTAGTCCTTCAGTGGTTGTTGTCACTGCCGGAGCATTGTTTGTTGGATACCTTCTTCTCCCACCAATTTGGTCCACCATTTCTTTCAACTTCCGTGGTTATAAAGGTGAATTACATGCTCGATGAACAACCAGAAATGTGGTTTTCATCAAACATATTCTGACTCTCAAATCTAGTCTTTTTATACGTTTATGCAACTAACAACACCAATTATGCATGAAACTTACATTACGTAGCTTGGAGCAATAGTTGAGTTATGCTTGCAAAAAAGGAAGACATCGATCATAAGGGATTAATGGAAGAGAAACTAAATGAGAATTTATATCGAAGAGCATTGTTCTCCAAACAGATCATCTTGTTCGAGAACTTAGGAGGATTGGTTTACCATTTTGTAATTATAATTAAATAGCTTGTACTTTTTGGTTAAGAGAAATTTGCAGAAGGTATATGTGGCGAAATAGTTTGACTGCATCAATTTCTTCTGTTGGCATAGGATTGAAGTTAGACTTATTAAGGAACAATGAAGTTCTTGTAATAAATAAAAAGAGACTAACAACGAGCAATTCTGACTTACAGTTTACTTGGGATGTGGAATGAAGTAGATAATTGTATGAGTGCAGGTACAGTATATATCATTTAATATCTGGTTACTCGGTTGACCTACATATTGAATCACTTAGCTCGTTACCTTAAATTTAATGTCTTAGTCTTGCTAGTCATTAGCTATGCATTTAATTATGTAAAAACAACATTATAGAAAAATCTAAAAGCCTTAGAGTTGTTAATATCTTTTGTTCATTGAGCTTTTATTGTATATATTTTAGTGTGACTTTTCTTTTTGACTGGTTCATACGTAAAATTGGATAATGTTCATTATTCATTCAATCTACACCCAATTTTGGAGACTCCAAGCTTAACTCTTATTTTGCCACATGTAACACGGTACATGAAATGCTACAAGTATATGTACATGATACAAGAGTTGGGTTACCAATTCTTACGCTTCATGTTTCATTCTTGCAAAAATAACTTTATTTTTGTTGGTGGACGACTGTGTTCTTATTTGTCCCTTTCTTTTGCTCTTCACCAGGCAATCTCAGTCCTGCTCAGGCGCTCGACGTGATAACCGCACAGAATTATCTTATGATTGACATAAGATCAGAGAAAGACAAAAATAAAGCTGGTGTTCCTCGCCTGCCCTCGAATGCAAAGAACAAGATGATCTCAGTGCCGTAAGAAATTCTACCTTCTATTCCTATGTGCTTGTTGGTTGTTATATAAAACAGCAGAAGATGCGACTACTGAGCTCACTTTTTTCTTGTAGTTTGGAGGAACTTCCTAGCAAGATAAAGGGCCTTGTGAGGAGCTCAAAGAAAGTGGAAGCTGATATAGCCGCGCTAAAGATTTCATACCTTAAGAAAATCAACAAAGGATCCAACATCGTGATAATGGATTCGTGAGTTCCTGCTGCTCAGAACTTCAGTCTTTCCATCATAAATTCATGATATAGTGAGTTGAGGCACACAATACAATTCAAATGTGCAGCTACTCTGATATAGCGAAACTTGTCGCAAGGACACTCACCAGCCTTGGTTTCAAGAACTGCTGGATTGTGACGGATGGATTCTCCGGGGGGAAGGGATGGCTGCAGAGCCGTTTAGGCACAGACTCGTACAACGCATCGCTTGTTGAGGTTCTGTCTCCTTCGAGGGTCATTCCTGCTGCTGCAGCTCGGTTTGGAACCACCAGCTCTACGGCCCTACAGTCGACTAGGAAACTTCTTCCTGGGAGCGTTGAGAACTGAAAATTCTCAGGCAGAAGGTGATTCTTTTGTAACTTTTTTTTATCTTTTGTGAAGATAAGGTATGCAGGGTATGGCATGTTATGTTGTTATTGTACAATGCATGCATCAGCTAATACAAATGAGTCTGGTTATATTGTCCCACTTTGCTTCCTGACTGCATCCAACAAGTTCTTAACACAAGTAACCTGGCAGCCAAATAA